ACATTACATATAAAATTAATTTTTAGACAAAAAGAATGTGAATCAGTCTAACAGAAATCTAGAGATATGTTAACCATTGAATGTAAACATGGTTATTAGATTAGGTGATTTCACAACAGCGTTACGGGGACTGGATAAATGACTTGAGGTATTGAAAAATTTTTCGTGAATCACTACTCAAATTATTTCTTCAAAACTTATGGAAAAGGAACAAAACTTGGGATGAAATTCTAAACGAAGAGGACGAAGAGAGGTGGAAGTCTTTCATCAAGAAATGGCCAACAGATGTTATCGAAATACCGCGGGTGGCCATAAACTCTACGAAACGAATGCAAATTCATGTCTTCACGGATGCTTCAAACGTAGCATATGCAACAGCGATATATGTTCTAAACAGCAGTGCTATAAGGGTGACTCCAGTTAAAGGGATGAGCATGCCTCGATTGGAAATGCTTGCGATACTTATTGGTGTACGAGCAGTAAAGTTCGTCACGAAGCAATTAGAAGTAAACGGGTGTCCAATAAGCCTTTGGTCGGACTCGAAATGTGCCCTAAATTGGATATAAAATCATTTAAAATTGCTGCCAAGATTCGTACAGAATCAGATACAAGCAAAAATTTCATTTTGATATATCCCCAGTGAGTATAACCCTGTAGATATTGCTACAAAGGAGCTCCCTCCAGGAAAGCTAAAGGAATATGAATTATGATGGAAAGGACCGCAATGGTTAAAAGAACCCGGAACTAAATGGCCTCAATGGGAAGATCAAACCATGAAGGAATACGAAGACGAAACAGAAGAATTATTGCAAAAGTGCAAAAGTCACGAACCGAAAAATCTAGAATGCAAACTTTTGGATCAGACGCAAGCCGATTTAGCAAGTGGTTAAAATCGATAAAAACGACTATTTCGATTCTTAAATTTATTAAAAGGACGACAAAAGGAAAATTATCATGGTTAAATTCGTTGTCGGCACAAGGACATCGACTGACAGCTGAAGATCATAAATTAGCTGAGTGGGTGATCATTAAATAAGCACAAACAGAAACGATTACCGAAGAAATAGAGAAATAGAACTTATACTACGACGAGGATAAATTATGGGAATTACGAAGTCGTCTAGAAAATTCCGAATTGGATGAACAAAGCAAACATCCAGTTTATTTACCAAGACATAATGCAGCTATCGAGCTTTTAATATGGGAACAGCAGAGGCATTATTCATGCCGGAACCGCACATACATTCAGAATTGAGACGTAAATTCTGGATACCAAAAGGCCAAACTGAAGTCAAGCGTATTATCAACAACTGCACCGGCTGCAAACGATGGTCAGCGAAACCATTCAAGTTGCCCATCATACCGAATCTGCTAGAAAACGAATCAATCGATCAAGAGCCTTTGCAAATGTTGGTTTGGACTATCTAGGTGCTCTCTCAATCAAAACTGAGGACGGAATATCCAAAAGATGGATTGCCTTATTCACATGCTTACCACGAGGACAATACATTTAGAAATAGCGGACAATTTATCTGCGAAACTTTCCTCCACGTATTAAGAAGATTCATATCCCGACAGAGATATCCAAAGCGAATATTGAGTGGTAATGCGGGTCGATCCCAACTAGTCTTTAAAACTATAAGGGATGTCGGGAAAGTTTTGTTTAGTTGTTGATGTGATGAATCGCAAGAGGAAGATTTATTGAATAGTAGAATTATGACAGTATAATATAATACAATAGTTTTAGGTAATAAAAAATAAAGGATACAGTGGTTAGTAATGGAGTGAATTCGAATGCGAATGGTAAACAGTTAAGGGAGACAGATGTGACGTTAATATAACGTCAACAAAAATTTTTCTGAGCCTCGAGAATCCGTCATCGGAGCTTTTACATTGCCCATGCGTAGGTCGAGCTTACGATAACATACAGATGCATACAAAGATTTAAATGTAAGACAGAGCTTTGTATAATTTAGCTACCAAATATAAACAAGCTCAACATCAGACACATTGTTGGAAGACTTGAAGCTTAAACAGCTGGTGACTTATCACTTTAGATGTGGAAAAACGTTTTGTATTGTTTTTTTTTTGTGTAATATGATGAGTCTGTTATCCCGTAAATGCTTAATGCAACGAATTCTTTAGCTGCTTGAACATATTACAACTTCTTTCGGGTTTCTCGACAAGAGAACAGTATACAAAATTAATGGAATTCTTGGCAAAAAAGATGATCTGGGAGAACATAACTCCAAGAGCACCCTGAAGCGGAAGAATCTATAAATGTTGGTTGCACTGACAAAAAGAACTATGAGATAAGCCATCGGAAGGAATCTACTATGGGAAAAAAAATCCATAACTTTAATTGGAGATAGAAGGTACCTCAAACATTCGGCCACTAATTTATGCGAATTTTGATAGTAAGGTAATACATCCAGTAGATTCCACACAACCCAATTCTTCCTTAGTTATACCAACAGCTAATGACAATCAGGATGAATGCATGCCAAGAAAGCTGAACACAAGGGGACGACTAATTAGATACTGGATAATTGTACTCAAGATACTCGACACATTTTGGGGATTCTGGAAAACAGAATACTTGACAAGTCTCAGGGAATGAACCCAGAAACAGCACGTAAATCCTAAAGGCGCAAAGTATCGCTCACCATGATTAGGAGAAATCGTATTGTTGGACATGAAACTCCTCGAAGTCTCTGGAAATCAGCAAAAATTAAGAAACTTAGAAAAGGGAAAGATGGAGTCACAAGAGCTGCGATAATAGAAACTCCCCATAAAGAAAACTCCTCACAAGGCTGATAAACCCCTCGAGGCCAACGTCGAATCTGACGTAGAAAGAGAAGAGACTAAAAATAAGCCAGAGAATACTGGAGAACCTATTGCACTGAGAACAAAAAGCAAAAGTAAAACAAAGAAACTTCCTTCTGCAGGCTGTACGCGTTGGTCTCCTCGAGTTAGGAATGTCAGGTTACCGAAATTATAGCGATGTTCAAATAAAATCCCCACGAGATCTAACAGACAGGGTGATGAAATCTTGTAAAACTAAAGTAATAAAGAGAATATAAGCTTAACAATGGACAGCATAACAAAGACACCTCAGTATCTACACCACTGACGATGAAATACATTGTACCTACACAATGGATAATGCCAAAGGGCAACCATATCTCCATGCTAACCCCGATGGAGCTCAAAAAACTCTCTAATCCTTATATATGTATATATAAGGAAAAACCCGAAACAATTTATTTTTCTCAACCAAGAAAACTACGACATCCTCCTCGCATATCCACTTATCATTGAACAATAGATTGCAATATTTCTTTTCGCTAAAAATATTTCCTCCACCACATCCCCAGCTCAATGAAGGACGAATTCTTATATCTCAATAATTATGCAACCTATCAACAAAATATCAGTCAACTATTATGGAAGAAAACGAAAGGAATTTGTTAGTTGATCATATTGCTTGCTTATTGTATAATTCATTTATCATTGCTTACCAATTCATCGTCTAATATATACATATATATTTTATACCTTTTTTGTTGTTAATTAGTAATATTGTGCAAGGACAATATTACATCCCGAATAAACTTGTATCGCCGAGAAACGAGCTCAACAGATTAGCTTCCTCGATAATTCCATTCTTAATTCTTACCTCTTCACTCTTATCTTTTTATAGTCTTTCCCGAATATCCATATCTATTCCCATAAATTAATAGTTACTGCATTTCATCTCTCCACAATACCAGGATCTTTTGTCGAGTATGAGCATTAGTGTGTTGGGTGAATTTTGCGCTGTGACAGAATGATTCCTCAAAAGTAAACTACAGTATTGTAAATTTTATTCATATTGACCGACTGTTCCGTTATTGATTAGATTTGTTGCAATTATGTTTTACAGTTGTACTGATAAAATACCATCCATGACAATATCTTATCACTTATTTATCAGTGACTTTGTCATCAGTTAGCAATCCTTTTATTCTGCATTAAGACTTTATGAAGTTCATACTGACCTTACGTTTGTATTTGACTGATAAGTGCAAAAGAAAATGGACTAAGCAGGACAAAATATTCAACAGAGTTTCAGAGTGATCTTTGGACTTCAACAAGAGTAGCAAACATAGCGTTCGAGAGGGTTCTACAATGGC